AAGAAACTTTGAAGATTTTATAAGACTTTTTAAAGTGTAATAATTTTGATTAGGAGTACTATTTATTCGATTTATAGGATTTATTAAGTGATATTTAAATAGATAAAATGAAAAAAGAACTGCAATCAAAAAACATCGATAATTCGATTATTATGAGTCTAGAAAATAACTATAGGGCATATAATATATTGAGAAAACATTCTGTTTTTATAGAAATACAGCCGAATAATAATAAAAGGAATTATGGAAACTAGAAGATTATAGTTTAGAATTTAAAGAATTACAATATATAAAAATAAGTGGATTTAATATAACTTTTCTGGAAGGAAAATAAAAAAGGAATAAGTATTTTAGAAAAAAGAAATATCATAAACTAAATAAAAACGTATTCCAAAATAAATAAATTAACGTATAATTATTTCAGAGTAAAGGTCGTCAAAATAGGAAATGAGTATAAAGAAAAACGTGCAAATGAAATAAATATAAAAACCTCTTTTTATGGCTGGAAAATACCCATGTTATTTATTTGGGCATATTTTATGACACACAAATGGGTTCATTATTTCACTTATATGGCTTTTTTTTCACAAATATCTTTCAAATGTGTCTTTTGTTCGAGTCCTTTTGCACAAGAATATGCTGTGAATAGTAAATCTGGACAGCTTTTTGAACAATAATCTTCTATTGTGAATTCTATTAGCGCAGAGTATAAACTAATTAAATAATAAGTAATTGATAACATCCAAAAATTTGAAAATGAACCCGACGTGGGTCTTTTGGGGAAATCAATTGTCCGTATATTCAATAGATTGGAAAATTATATATGGAGGTACTTTATACTGGGGTTTATTCTAATAAATATATGCCTAAGGACCCTAGTTTTGATATTAGCTTTATTTTTTTTAATTATGATTCCTTTAAGTTTACTTTTAGCACCTCTATATGTGATTTTAGGGATGATTTGTTGCCTTTTTTGTTTTGATTTTACAGTTCCGAATAAACACGATGAGTGGGATTTACCTATTATAGTACCTGTATTTGACCTTTTGATATATAGGTTAATTATAAAGGGTTTTTTTTAGATTTTTTTGAGTATTTTGATGATTTTTATGCATATTTTTTTCGGTATTTTGAGTATAATATTAGGTCATTTATTTTTTGTGTGTAGAAGGATTTTCGATAATATTACTTTTGCTTTAATTTATTATAGAGGAAGGGTACCAGGGGGAGATTCTTATATTGCGTAGAGAATTAAAAAAGGGAAAAAAATTGTAAAAGAAGATTTTTAAGTTTAAAAAAATGGAAAAAATGAAGCTTTTTAATTTTTGAAATTTGAAGATATTTGTGAGATGATTGATGGACTTATAGAAAGATAAATGTTGGAAATTTATAAATAATAAATGAAATAGGTTATTAAAATGCCAATTGAATAAAATGATAATTTTTTGAAGAATGTGGGGAACTTTTTACCTTTTGAATTCTAAGAAAATGCAAAATTATCAGCTAAATATAAGTATGGAGCAGAATCTTTGTATAATTAACTAAATTAAGACTGTGAAGAGAGGATTAAGATGTATCCTAGGGTTTAAAAGAGTAAAAATTATAGTTATGGGTATAAAAAAAATGATATTGAAAATATTCATTTGAAGGTTTAGATTTATTTGAAGGAAAAATATGAGAAAAATATAAATAATTATTAAGCTTTGTTTAAAGAAAAGCCTGATTTTGGTGAAATTGCGTTAGCTTATTTTAATTATATTTTCTTTGAAAATAATTGTAAAGGAGATATTATTAAAAAATTAACTATATAAGATTAATATGATGAAAATGACTAAAATTGTATAAAAATTATAGAATAATTAAATTAAAAGTACCCTCAAGCATATGAACCGAAGAAATATTGTACTCTTTAAAAATTTATTTAAAAATGTATTATTAGATAAGATTAAAGTTAACCATTTATTTTGTTAAATTTAGAAGAATTTTTATTATTAAATATTAATAAATTTTGATATAATATTTTTTTTTTTTTATATAAAAGAATTTTTATAATATTTTAAAATAAAAAATAAATAAAATAAAAAAATGTATAAACCTATGCATATGAATATTTATTATGATTGTAGTTGTAAGTTTGTTTTTGAATAATTATATACTAAAAATGATTAATGTGGTTGGTTTATTTTAGGATGTTTTTGTATTTTTATATATGGAATATTACATATGTTTTTAATTAATCTTAAATAAAAATATATTGATTATGCAGTTAAAAAGTAATAAAAGAAATATATTAATATGTATTTAAAAATAATATCATTATTAATTAACTAAAAATAATCATATAAAAAAAAAAATATAATCATATATATTAATATATATATATATAAATATATATATATATATATATATATATATATATATATATATATATATAACATTTATTTAAATTAACATTTATATTTATTTATAAATATATATTTTTTTCTTTTATTATATTTTTTAACATAATAAATATATAGTTAACATGGAAAAACATTTTTTTAATTTAATTTAGCTTTTTATTATTTCTTTTATATGTTTTCTAATGTAATGATTATGATGATTTTAATGACTATGAATGGAACAGTTTGCCTTGCTATTGTTTTCGGATTAGCTTTAGGCTATTTTTTTTTTGAAAGTAGTAAAAGATTTTCAATATAATAGAAAACAATTGAAATGTGTCATTCTTCTTGAAAATTAACTTAGTTTAATATTATAATTTTTTTTTTTGAGGATATTATAATTTTGATATATATATTACAAAAAAAATTAATTTTTATCACTTCATGATTTAAATAACATTTATTTCAATATTTTGCATTTTTTATTTAATATATAAATTATTAATTTATGATTTAAAAATTCCATATCAATTTTTTCTTTTTTAAATTTTCCAAAAATACCAAAAAAATAAAAATTGCACTATAATACTTCAAAATATATACAAGTCATTATTTAAAATATATTTATTTATAGTTTACTTATTTATAAAAAAATAAATATAAAAAATTTATATATAAAATAAAAAAATTCTAGATAATAATAATATTTATTTACTATATAATAAAAATTATATTGTTTTAATTCAAATATAATTTTATTTAGTATTTATTTTATAAATTAATTTAAATAGTATTTTATTTTTTAGGAAATATACGATATTTATGCCTTTATTTTCAATACATTTTTGAAAAATAAATATAATTATAATTTTATAAATAATGTAATTTGTTAACGAATTTTATTTATTATATTAAAATAAAATTCTCGATTTTATTTCTTTATAAAAAATTAAATTATAATAAAGTATCAATTAATAAAAATAGACAAAAAATAAATATATATAATTATTTTAAAAATACGTATGACATCTTAAATGAAATATATAAAATATAAGAAAAAAAATAAATAAAATAAAATAAAAAAAAAATGAATTACCAATAAAATTAACTATAAAATGCTTTTATTCCTTCTAATATTACAATTGGAGTAGAATAAAAAAAGCACAAAAAATTCGACGATTCGATTGAATTATAGAAAATCGGCGGTTACTTTAAAATAAATGCGATATAAGTATATTGGGACGACAAACATATTTTAGGTCTAAACATAAATTATAAAATTGGCAAAAGTGCTATTGGAGATTTTCTTAATGCTTCCCATAATTAACCCACTTCTTCTCATAAACATCATTGTAGTTTATTCGAAATAGGTCCAGATGACTATTTATTAGAAATAAAAGGAAAAGTACATGCTGATGGGAATATTAATTAACTAGGATTTCTCACTTATAGAGGAAAGTAGGCATCTTTTGGAATAGATGAGGGTGTTCCATTTTGTTATAGGTTCAAGGACTAAACGTTTGGGTCTTTTTCTGGATGCTTTAAAGATTATTTATAGTAATTATAAATTTAAATTATTCCTACACCTGCAGATTTCTTATAATAATTTAAGCCTATTCAACTTAATCTTAATATTAATAATTAATTAGCTGGACAAGCCTAAATTAATTAAAATCAAGTAGGATTTAATGCAAATAATAATAATAATGGTAACGGTGGAAATTTCATGAAAGTCTCAGTTCCTTAAATTAAATAATTTAATACTAATCCTTAATAATCAAATAATGTTCCTATGTAATAATAAGGTCCTTAATAATGGAATACTAATCCTGTTTAATAATAAATGCCTTAATAATAAAGCTTTGGTAATATATATTAATAATAATAATAACAAAATTAAAATAATGATTAATTTAATTAAAAATAACATGATAATAATAATAATTAAGGATTAAGTAATAGTAAATATCCAACACTTAAAAAATGAAAATATATATATATATATATATATATTTTATATAATTTTAGTAAAATTAATAAAAAATTATTAATAGAATTATTATAAAAAAATAAATTTTATATAATATATAAAATATATTTTTATCATTATTTAAAAATTAAATTTGTATTTTTTTTTAAAAATAATTATTAAGCAATAATTTTTTTTAATAATATATACATATTATTATAAACACATTATATATTCTTCTAATAAAAATTTATTTATATTTAATAATTTTTTATTTCATAAATATATATAAATAAATAAATTAATTTTTTTTTAAAAAAAAACATTATATATTAAAAAAAAATATATATATATATTATTAAAACAAATTTTTATTAATTTTTTTTTTAAATAAAAATAATAATGTTTTTTTTTTAAAGAAAGAGAAATATATATTATATAATATGTATTAAGGAAATAGAGTTTTTTAATTAAAAATATATAATTTTTAGTTTATTTTTTTTTTAAAAATAAATAAATAATTAATTAAATGTTAGATTAAGCAGAATCAGTAAATTTATTAAAAAAGGATAAATCAATATCTGATTTTAATAAATTTGTTGGCTTAAAGACACTATTTTATGAATATTTATATTTAATTATAAAAAAAGATGAATAATCATTATTAATAAATTTTATTTTAACTTTAATTCATTATTTTTAAATATATTATTTCGCTTTTCATCCTGTTGTAATATAATAATAAAAAATTAAAAATTAAAAAAAAAATTAAGATATAAAATGTATGGGATACATCAAAAGCAGATGATATAGCAGCGGCTTTTGGATATCCGGGTTTAATACATATATATAGAAAGTCAGACTATATGATATATTTATCATATTTTTATATGAGTTTGATAATAATAGTGTTGTTTTTTTTCATGTTCTTATATACTTATATATTGATAGCGAAATAAAAACAAATAAATTATCTTTTAATAAATATACAATAAATAATAATAAATTTAATTATTTATATTTTATATGTACCATTCTTGGATATTTTTATTATTATTATTAATTGCTAATCAACAAAAGGGTAAATGAAACTTGCAATTTATCCAAATGAAGTTTGTTGGTCAGGAATGCATATTTTTAATGGTGCATGTGGAATAGTAGGAATCAGTTTACTAGAAATATTTGCATATTTATTTAGTTATTTATATTTTAATGGAATATCTAATAATAAGAAAGTAATATTTAAAAAATATATATATATATATATATATATATATATATATATATATAATTTTTTTTTTTATATAGACAAATAGTGTATAAAATTCTAGACATGTTCTAACTGATCATTATAATTTATGTATTTTAGTTTTTTCATATAATTTTTTGAGTAGCAAAGAATTTAATGGTGTACTAATTGCTATTTATTTTATAGGAAGTAATCTAGTTTTTTACATGATATATACTAGAATGCCTTTTAATAATTAAATTGTGTAGAGATATTAATCTTTATTTACTACAGTATATGTTTGGACTTCTATTATGTTATCATTAACTTATGTAAAAATAAATATTTCAATAACATTTTATACATATTTTTTTAAATTTTATTATTTATATTTTTTTATTAATTTATAAAAAGTTAACTGAAAAAAAAGTTTTTCATGGTCTATTATATGCATGGGCTATTGGATTGCCTTTGATAATGTTTATAATTTTTTGGATTCCAATTAAGTAAAATTAAGAAACCTTTACAATGAATGTTAATATAAATAATTTCACAAGTCCTTAATAAGTTATATAACATGCAAATTATGTCCAAAAATTAATATAGAATGACATATCAAAAACTCAAACATCCCATCTATTAAACGGCTACATTTAATTTCATAATAAAACATGTTTAAGTGTAAATTGTCCAATGAACAAAATTAAATATAAATAATAAAATTAAAATTAATAAGAAATATAAAATAAAGATTAAAAAAAACTCAATTAAAAAATAATAAAATAAGATAAAAGGTATATATTTTGTTATGAAATGCTTTCTAAATTATATGAAGCAGCTATAGCTACTTACCCTTAAGATGTTTCTTTAAGAATCGCATATTCTGTGTTTTTAATGAAAGTTTTAAAAAGTAAATAAAATGCAATTAATGAAATTACAGAAGCAGAGAATTTAAAAATTTCATATGATGATTTTTTTACTATATATTAAATAAAGTAATTCCTTTTTTTTATTATATTTAATTATTTTTATATAGAAGAACTTTAGAAACTGAAATAAATCAGGCTTTTTTAGATGGAAATATAGAATATAGTGAATAGAGAAATTTGGAAGGATAAATATAACATTTAAGAATAGCTATGGAATAAACTGTCTCTTTATTAATTGAATTTTGGAGTCAGTTTTTGGATGAAAGGCCTGATTTAATAAAATTATATGATATAGGATCTAAGCTTTTTCCATTAAAATAAATGGTTGATCTAATATGGAAGAAATTAAGTAGAAATTAAGGTGAACAATTACCTAAACTATTCAGAATTTATTCGAAATATTTAATAGAAATTTTCAATGATAAATAATAAGGAAAAGAGCTTTTAGACAAGGCTTCTTAATTTGAAAAATCATAAATTAATAGAAGAGATTTTCATTTTAATTATTCTATTGAATAAAATCTAGATGGAAATTAAGATGCAATGATTTTTATGACTTTGGATGAAGTTAATTTTTATATATATAAATCTATATATAATTAAATATATTTAATAGGATAGAATAGGTTAAATAATTTCAACAAATTTAAGTTGTGTAAGTCTTTTTGGATACGCAAAAACAGAACTATTGAATAAAAATGTAAGCTTTTTAATGCCTTTTGTATATGCAAAGTATCATGATTAGATTTTAAAGAGATATATAGAAACTAATGAAGGCACTATGATTAATAAGGACAAAATTGTATATGGAAAGAATAAAAATGGATATGTTTTTCCGATTACTATTAATATTAAACCGATTTTTCAGGCTTTAAAATACGGAATGGAATTTATTGCGATTTTCAAAAAAGAAAAAATTGTTAAAAATTATGCAGTTGCAATTGCGACACCTGAATATTTAATAAAAGATATATCTTCAAGTATATATTTTTAATTTTAAATATAAAAAATAAAATAGATAGTTTAAATATTTTAGGTATCGATCTTAAAACTATATCTTTATAATCTGTTTATTTAAATAATTTAGTAAATATATATATATAAATAATTATATAAATATATAAATATATAATTATAAAATATTTATATTTATATTTATATATGTTTATATAGATAAATGATATCTAATAATATAAATAATGCTATTTAAATAAAAATGGAAAATAAATAGAATATACTTTTCCTAAAATAAATGAAGATTTAGTTTTATTTAATAAAGGAAATTATATTGTCAAATTGAATGTTTGGTTAATTGAACTTTAATTTAAAATTAAAGAAAAAGATAAAGCAGGTTTTATATTTAGAGTTGAATTATAATAACCTAAAAATATTAATCTTATGAATTCTAGTATAAACAAATCTAGAGTAAAATAATAAAAAAAAAATAGTATAAATAGCTAAGAATTAGATTCAAGATAAAATTACAAATTAAATGATTTTTTATTTAAGGCCAAAATAGATAAGAATTATTTTATTTTTTAAGGAGAATATAAAGCAGGATTGATAAATGAAAATCCTAATAATTAAAATAGTATAAGTATAAGATATGAAAATAAAGATTCATCCCTAGGATTATCAAATTCAAATGAAATAATAGTATCTTAATTAGCTAATTAAAAAGAATAAATTTAAAATGAAAATATTTTATAAAATAAAAAAAAAATAGACTATGGATAAGGGTAATAAAAAAAATTATATATATTAAGAAAAAAAAATATAAATGTTAAAATATATATATATATATATATATTTATATATATATATTTAATTAAATATTTATTTATATATAAATATTTTTCTTTATATTTTTATTTATTTATATATATATATATATTAATTTATATTATATATATAGATTTAAAACCTTACGTTTGATTAAATCTGTTTTACGTGATATTGATAAGGAATAATCAAACATAGAGTTAAGTGAAAGTGAATTAGAATAAGAAAATAAATAAGAAAAATAAAATAAATTGAACCATAAATAAAATCAAAATATTGATTTAAATTAATTTTGCGAAAGTGATTTAAATTCTGCTAAAGAACTTAACTAAGAACTATCTGCATAAAGTGAGAGTGCTACGGTATCTTCTTTGAAATATTTTTCAATTTTTGTCATTATTTGTATGATATTAATCGCTACATTAGATTTTTCTTTAATGTAATTATAAATAAGCACCTAAAATAATCTTTTGAAAAGTATTATTTTAGTTTCAAATAGAATGTCTGAGGTAAATGAAGTTATTTCTTTAACTAGAGAATTACTTTTTTTAGCTAAAAAAATTAGATAACCCCCATAGTATTCTGAAAATTCATTAAGTCCTTCTTTTGAGTCAGACGAGAAAGTTTTAAGAAACAAAATATAGACTTGTGTAGTTGAAATAGAATTTTTGACAATAAAAATTTAAGAAATATATTAAGATTCGAATGATATAGTGAAGATTTATTTTGAAAAAGGATCTTTTTAGGAGTTTTAATTGTCATATAGTACTTAGTAGTTTATTTCTAAAACTCATAATATTATAAAGCTTTAACTTTCAGAAATAAAAGAGTCTTAATCTGATGTTTTTTTTATTTTATTTAATGGTTTGAATGATTATTTTCTTTAACTTAAAAACCAATATTTTTAAATAGTCTCTAATTCTTAAAAGAATTTCGAAGAAATTATAAGCTAGTCTTAAACTTTTCTTTTTATCTCAATAAGTGTAATGTTAATCTTTTCCCTTATTGTCACTGTCTTATTGGGTAAGACTATGTTTGCAAAGTTACTTATTTTGAGTGTTTTTTTAGAAATTCCTGAAAATACGGCTAAATATTTGTATTTAAAGTGTGATAATTTTCTCGCTTAATTAGGATCAGAGGAAGAAGATTAAGTGCATTCAGAAATAGAATTGAATGTAGACGAAAAAAATAATAATAATGATAAGGCAAATTTTTTAGTCAAAAGGAAAAAAAAATTTAAAAATACAGATAATGGTAATATTAGATTTTTATTGAAAATGCTTATTGTTGCAGTATTTATTGAGGCTTATTTTATTTTTAATTATATATTAGGAAATAATAATATTTAGATTATTAAAGATTTATAATAGGAGTATAATTTTACAAATTTTGTAGAACCATACTATTCATTTACTTAAAATGCTTTAAAATAACATATATTTGATTCCACTTGGACTATTCTAAATAGTAATTCTTTGACTATTGTAAATAATTTAATTGATAATTTATATGAATTTGATTCAAATTTACATTAAGTATATAAATAAATATATATATATATATATATATATATATATATATATATATATATATATATATTATTAGGAGCATGCTAAAAATAGTGATCAGCATAATAATTCAGCTAATTATTTAGATTTTTTTAAAAGTGTTATGTTTGATGATGCTTGTATAGTTATTGTTTAATAAAAAGGAGCTTCCTAAACTGAATGTGAATAATTCAGTTAAGGATTGGTTAGATAGGTATTTTTTTTATTTAATATTTTTTGTATATTATTTATAACTTTTCATTTTATTATTAGGGAATTATAGGAGTTATAATTAATTATTTTTAATTAATTAAATATTTGTAAAATAGAAGTTTATGGATGTATGAAAATTCTCAATCTTAATACTAATTTTAGTTTAGCGATTGGTAATAAATAGTTTTTTAAAATGTAAACATTAAAGTTAATAATTTATATAATTTATTAAGATGTCCAGATTCTTTTGATTTAAGTAGAAAATATATAATTTAATATAACATAATTATTTTGTTTATTTTTTTAGCTAGAATATAAACTTAATACATAAAATCATCTCTTCGATATTTATAAAATGCATTCTTTGAAGAAAACGAATTATTATTTTCAAATTATAAAGCTTAAAGAATATTATTTCTAGTTATTTTTATACTTGTGTTTTTATTTACAGCTTTTACCGCTTGGATGTCATTCTTAGCTACTTTAAATAAAGAAGTATTTTTTTTTTTAATATATAAATGATAAAAAATGTTAAAAATTAAAGATTTGGTCAACTAAATGCTTACTTTCATTTATTCCAGTAAACGAAATAAAGAAAATTAAAAATATTTCAAATTTTATTAAAGAATATATATTAAAAAGAAAAATATGAGAAAAAAGAAAATATAAGAAATATAAACTATATATATATATATATATATAAATATTTAATAAAAGTTTTAATAATTTTGTTTATAATGTAAAAAAAAAAATTATATTATAATATTTTTAATATTATTTATTTATATATTCTAAATATTTAATATCAATTATTCAATGCTTTTTTTAATTTATAACTATTTAAAAATATTTTAGAATAAATAATATATAAACCTTTGATAAAAAGTTGTACTTATTATTTTTATATATTATTTTTTATTATATATTATCTTAAAACAAATATTAAAATACTATATTAATGTAATATCAAATAAATTTTACTTTCTTTAGATTTATATTATAATAATTTTATATATATTAATTTAATCAATATAAATATAATATAAAGAATAAATATTTTAATTTTTAATGAATAAAAAATTCTTTTAACTTCCTAATTTTATAGAATTTTTTATTGGATATGGATCATATCATTCAAATAAGATGTAACATTAAAAAATTTAAAAAATAAATTAATAAAAAGTAACAAAATAATACATATAATATGTATTCCTATAATTTTAAATACCATTATGGCAATGATAAAGCATTCACAAGTAAAATTATTTGATTAATACTTAAAATCTGAAATTCCTTATTTCGAATTAAATTTTAACTTAATTTTAGTATTGGTGCTAGGGGCAATTTACATAAAAATTGAATATTTAACAGGGGTAAAAATAAACTAAATATAACAAAAATATATATGTATATATTTATATATATATATATATTAATATAAATATTTATATATATATATAAATATATATAATATATAAAATATAAAATATATAAATATAAATATATTTTAATATTTCGTATTATAATTATTTAAATTTTAATACTAAAGTTAATAACTACAGTATTTTATTTAGGAGGATGGGTATTAAATAATATATTATATTCAATTGCATAAAATAATAATTTTTGTACATTTCATTTCAGAACTGCTCTAATAATTAACATTTTAGCTTGGATTACATAATTTATAGGGCATGGAGTTTTTGAAAGTAATATAATAATATATTTAAAAATAAATAAATATAAAATCATATATAATATATATAAATATATATATATATAAATATATAAATATATAAATATATATATATATATATATAAATTATATTTTTTATAAACATTTTTTTAATTATAGAAAGATCACCTGCATTATTAGATAATATTTTATATACTTTATCTGCACCTAATTTTGTTACTATTGAAGTATATTATTATTTATTAATATATATATATATTAATATATATTTATTTATTAATATCTATAGCTAATGTTTCTAATTGGATATAGAAAAAATGATTATGAAGAATGTACAAAAAAAATAAATGCAAATGTTTTAAATTATTAAAATTAAAGAAAAAAAAAGAAATAATGATAAATTTTTTTAACAATATTTATAAAAATTGAAAAATTATATATAAATTTTTCATTTAATTACATATATCTAATAATTCAAATTTTTTATATTATTTTTATTTTTTTTTTTATTGATTATTTTGCTTTTTTTTATATTTATATATATATATATATATATATATATATATATATATATATATATGTATATATGTATATATTTTTTTTGTTAAAATAAATCTTATTGTATAATTTTCTTTTTTTTTTGTTTAATAAATAAAATATTGATTTATTTAACATTTTTTGTATTTTTTTAGTAATTTTTAATTTCTTTTATTTTTTTAATAAAACATTTATAATTTGAAATTTATTAAATTTTAAGATATTTTGAAAATTTTTATTAAATAATATTTAAAGAATTTCTTATTTTTTTAAATGTTCGTATTCATATTTAACTAAAATTGACATATATAATTTATACTTTTATTAATTTTTTTAATATAGTTTACTAAATATAGTTTATTTGACAATAATAAAGTTGAAATATTCTATTTATCTAATATTTTATAAAATATATTAGATAAATAATATTATTAAAAATAGGATAATATTTATTTTTCATTATTTATTTTTTTATATTTTTAAAGGATAAATTTAAAAGAAATTATATTTTTTTAATTTATGAATAAATAACAAGTTTTAGATATTTTAATTCAAAAATAAAAAAAAAGATCTTAACCAAAAAATAAAAAGTTAATTAATAGGATAGTATAATATTTTTTATTTTTTTTGGATAAAATTATAAAAAAAAATTGAGATGAATTTTTTTGATGATTTTGACTTATAACAATGAATTTTGTTATTTTTAATATTATACATATATAGTATTTTATGATTAATGCATTATTAAAAAGTATATATATAATTACTTTATTTATAATATATTTTGTAATTAAAAAAAATAAATTATAATTATTTATAAAATAAGCGTGTTTTTTTTTATTAATATATATATATATATATATATATATATATATATATGTATATATATATATCTATATATATATTATTAATAAATTTATTATCACATATTAATATTAAAAATAATATAAATAAAAAAGTCTTTATTTTTGAAATAAAAAAGCATTTTATAATACAATATTATTATAATTTTTATGAAAATTTAATATATTGATTTTATATAAATATTTAAGATATAATTTTATTTTATAAATGAACTTTATTTTTTATTTGTAATATCGACTTACTTAATTTTTTTTCTTTCATTTATAAAAATTATTTAAATCTATTATATGTATATAATTATATACTAAAATTTTATGTATATTAAAAATAAATATATTATTAATAGAAAAATAATATAATATAATGTAAAATTAAGGAAATGAAGATATTCAAAATATAAATTATATATTTTTTAAGTAAATATCATAATACTTCTACTTCTTTTATTGAGTTTTGTAAAAAATTTCAAATAATATTTATATTAAAATTTTCATATTAATTAATATTTAAAAATTAAGGCTATTTATCTAATTCTAAAAATTAATATTGCATAAAATTATATAAAATTAATATATTTTAATATCTTATAATAATATATCAAATAATATAGAATTTCAAAATAAAGAATATATTAATAAATATATTATCGAAATTTAGATTAAAATAAAAAATATTATTTAATTATTATAAAAATAAATAAATTTTAATAAAAAAATAAATTATTATATAATAAATATATATTTTAGATATGATACAAATATTTTTTTCAATATATTTTTTAGTTTTTTTAATAAACAAAAAAAATATAATGATGACTAATAATTAAATGAGTTTAAGAAAAATATAATAATTTAAATTTTTAGAAAGAAAAATAAAATTAAATAAAATTAAATAATATTAGAAAAAATAATATTAGATAAAATAAAATATAATAAAATGAAAAAATATTAGATAAAATAAATGTTTTGTAAAATTATTTAAATAAAATATACATAAAATAATTAAATTATTATATTAATAATAATTAAAGATATATAAAAATTTATATTAATTTTTAAAAGCAAAATTTTTTGTAAATAAATAAAAAATAATTATATAAAATTTATAATAATAAAATAGAAAATAATTATATATTTTTATAAATTTATTTTAAGAAGTTTTTATTTGGTATAAAATATATAATATAATATTTTAATCTAAAGAAAAAATTATAGAAAATAAAATATTAATTAAAAAAAAAAATATATATGAAATTAAATTTAATAAAATATATATAATATAAATATTTATATTTAAATATTAATTAATTAAATAATTGATAAAAATAAAAAAAATAAAAATAAAATACATATTTATATATAATAAAATATTATTATTAAATTTTATGTAAGATGTGTTATTCTTAATAAGTTTTTTTTTTATTAAAAAAATAAAATTATAAATATGTTATATATATTTATAAATATTATTCATTTAATAAAAATTATCAAATTTTTTAAAATTTTATATTATAAAATTACAAAGTTATAATATAAAAAGATAAGAACTTTTGATAAATAATATAAAATATATTATTAATAGTATTATTAGAAATAGTTAAATATTAAAATATTTTTATTTGAAATATAAATATTAAATACAATAAAAAATAAACTTCTAAAAAAATATAATATTTATATATGGATCGAAAGAAGATATATGAAAAATATTAAAATATAAAAAAATTTGATTAGTGGTTACTTGATAATACAGAATTTTGTTTAGAAGAAAGATATATTCCTTAAGGAATAAGTTAAAATATAAAATATATTATAAAATATAAAAGTATAATAAAGTTGGTTCAGGCACATATGGAACTGTAATTGCTTGTATAGATAAAGAAAACAATAATTAATTAGTGTCAATAAAGAAAATAGAAAAAGCATTTGAGCATAATATATATACAAGAAGAACAATAAGAGAAATAAAACTATAAAGATTATTAAAACATGAAAATGTATATATTTTAAATATATAAATATATAAATATATAAATATTTTAATATATAAATATATAAATAATTAATTTTATTATATATATTTTTAAATATTATATATATAAATATATAATAGGTATTAGGTATCACATAATTAATACTTCCATTAACAAGATAAGATTTTAATGATATTTATTTAGTATAACCTTTAATGTAGAGTGATTTTAGAGAAGTTTTAAATTCTAATCAGGAACTAAATGAAGAGCATTTATAATATTTTATGTATTAAATTTTTAGAGGATTAAAATATATTCATTCAGGTAGAATAGTTCATAGAGATTTAGTATATATAATTTATTTAAAAAATATAAAAATAAAATATTATTCTAATAAAGAAACCTAAAAATATTCTTTCTAATTATGAAGGTGATTTGAAAATTTGTGATTTTGGATTTGCTAGATATTTAGAAAATAAACTTAGAGCTAATGATCTAAGCGAATATGTAACTGCAAGATGGTATAGAGCGCCTGAAATATTATTAAGTTAAAAAAATTATGATTACAAAGGTATTTTTAGAGATGTTATTTAATTGATATATATTTTTATATTAATAAAAATAAATATTTATTAATTAAACGATATATATTTATATAATATATTTTTATTAATATATATATTTTTAATTTATATTTAAATTTATACATATATATATTATAGTTGATATATGGTCTGCTGGTATTATAATGGCTGAAATTATTAAAAGAAGACCTTTTGTTTAAGGAATTTCTTCACATGATTAAATTATTGGGCTTTTATAGGTTTTAGGAACTCCAGAAATATAGAATATTAAAAATATTGGATATAGAAGCATTTTTTAATCTTTGCCTAAATTTGAAAAAATAAATTTAAATAAAATATTTCCTTAAGCTTCTGAGTTAGCCTTAGATTTATTAAAATAATTATTAGAATTTGATCCTGATCTAAGATTTAGTGCATAATAAGCTTTAGAGCATCCTTTTTTTCAATATTACATTGTCCTGAAGATGAACAATAAAGAAATGAAGTAAATCCTTTAGAATTTGAATATGAATAATATGAATTAGATGAGGAATAATTAAAAGGTTTTTTATTTTTATTAAACTTTTTATAATTTTTTTTGTTATTAGATATTTTATATGAAGAAATTCTAATATATAATTTTGAAGATTTTAAATAATAATATTTTGAAAAACTAGAAAAAGGATAAAGTGTTTATAATCATATTATATAAAAAAGTTAAATTAGGCATTCGTTTGTACTTATTTTTTTTTAATAAAAAAATAAATTATTTATTTTTTAAAGTCAAGTATTATTTAAGAAAATAATACATCGAAAGATAGTGAATAAAATTTTTGATAAATTTTTAATATTATAAATAAAAGATTATTAAATATAATATGTTAATATATAATATATATATGTATTTATTCTTATATGTTTTTATTACATGTAAAAAAATTATTATAATATAAATATAAAAGTTATAATAATAATAAAAATAAAAATTATTAAAATATAATATATAATATATAATTTATTAAATTTAAAGTTTTTTTAAATTTATTAATATTATTTTATTTTTTTATTTGTAAATAAATCATCTAAACTTAACTGTTTCTTCAGAAATTTAAGTTTCTTTAGAACTAATGTCTATTTATTTAAAGAAATTTAAAATATTTTAACTGAATTGTTCAGTTTGAAATTTTTCATTTAAAAATTTTAATATAGTATTTAAAATTATTTATTTATCACAACTATTATAATATTCAGGATGCATTAATAAAACATCCAAAAGATTCTCAAAATCTTCTTAGTCACCTATATTAAATTATTACTTTAAATTAAGGAACAGTTCCATTACAGTTTATTCTTTTAAATTGATATTATATTAATTAATTATTTAATCTAATACTTTCATTTCTTATTACATGTTTTAAATGCTAGGTAAAGTATATTTTATATTATCTTATTATAATGCTTTAGTTATGCAATAGAAATAAAGATAGTTAAACTTGTCATAGTCTTAGGGCGATTTTATATAATAAGGGGTTAGTTTATCAAAATATTAAATTGATTTTTCTATATAAATTTTAGGAATATTATCACAAAATTGAATAATAAAATAAGAGATTTTTTCTCTACAAAAATCCATATTTTTATTTTTTATTTTTTAAATATATAAAAATAATTAGGTTTATTAAATATTTTTTTTTAAAAAAAAACTATATAAATAACATGATAATTCCAAAATTAAAAAAGATATGTAAATTAATTAATTTTAAATATAATATTTTAAGAAAAAAAAATAATTATAGATATTAAAAAATATATAAAAAGACTAATATTTAAAATTTTTTTCGTAATCAAGATTTATTATTATTTTATCATCAAAAAAAAAAAATTTAAATAATTAAAATTACATATTAAAATTGTAGAAATTGAAATTTTTTAAAAAGTAAATAAAAAAAAACTATAAATTTAAAAATTTAATAAAAAAAAAAAATTAAATATTTAATAATAAATTTTATATAATAAAATTAATTTATTTCATTCTTCATTCTTCATATTTTTTATTTTTTTTTCTTGTTTTTATAAGAATTTACAACTCATATCCATGTTATTTACCTTTTTTTCAAATTTCAAATATATTTTATCTATCTATTAAACCATCAAAAAATAAATTTGCTTTATTTTTTATTATCTTTATAATTTCCTTTATAACACTTTCCACATTTTCACTATATAAATTCAAACTCCAATCCTTTATTTTAATAAAATTTCCCTTTATATAAAATTTAGTTTCTTCATTTGTAAATTTCCATAACATTTTAATTAAAATTATTTTAAATATGACCTTCAAATAACTATATATTGGTAAATAATAATATTTATTTTCCTATTTTTATTTTTTTACTATTTAAATATTATTCTGTATTTTTTGCCCAATTAGTCTATGTTTCTTGATTGTTAAACTAACCCCTTATTTTTATTTATTTTATATAAAAAAATTTTAATAATTTAATTTTTTTTTTTTTTTTTTTACTTATTTATAATCTATCTATTCGCCTTTATAATTAATACCATTTTTATATGATAATACATTCCCTATTTTCTATTAGTTTTATCATCTAACTATTCTCCTTTATATATATCGCCATATCAATTTTTAAGTTTTTTTAATCCATTATTTAAATCGATATTTTTTATTATTCTTTCATATGGTCTTGAAGTCTATTTAACCATTCATATTCAAAAATTATGCCTATTTATAATTTTATTGAGAAATGTGGGGGATGAGCTTTTTAATAATCTATGTATTTTATTTGCTATTTAATTAGTCTTATTATTATTAATTAATGTTTTATTTATTCGATATTATAATCGTTTATATTAGTTTGTTTTTACTTTTTATATTAATTGGCTTTGATCTTTTAACTTGATTGATTTTCGGTTTTTTATCTTAAATATGTGATTTTAATATTTTTATGTCAGATTCTTTAGTAATAGAGAAGATGCTTAATTTATTTAATATAAAATATTAATTATAAGAATTTTAAGATAATATCCTATATACTTTATTTTAATAACTAAATTAATTATATTGAACTTTAATATATATATATATATATATAATATATTATAGTAGTTTTAAATTTATCTAAATATAGAAAATATTAATATAATTTTGCATAAAAAACAAAATATATTTAAATTTTATATATTTTTATATACAAAACACTTAAAATTTATATATAATTGATAGATTTAACTTAAACTAGGAAAATTTTAAGTCTTTTTTCTATAAAAAATTTTTAATAAAAATACATAAATTTATTAATTTTTGACATATTTTTTTCCATTTAGAAAATTAAAAATTTATTTGTAAAAAAAAAAAAAAAAATATGTTTTTTATTAATTTTTTTCCTAGTTTAAAAAATATAGTAGATATGGAGAATTTTAATTTCTTTTTTTACCAAATAAAATAGGTTTTATTTATATTTAAAAAGTTTATATTTTATAAAAATCGCGAATTATAAATTTATTTCAAAAAAAAATAAAAAAAATAAAAACATGAAAGAAATAATAAAAAAAAAGAATGTTTTTTTATTAAAATATCTTCTAAAACATTGTATTCATAAAATAATATCTTAAGTAATTGATATATCTGATATATGTGTTTCTTTTAGAATAAAATTGCAATAAGTTTCATCTAGAAAACGGATGTCTAATCTTAATTTAGTTAAATAATTTCAATATAAATGAACAAAAAAATTAATTATTATGTAGTTAATAATTATTTTCAAGTAATTTTTATATGATTAAATTAGGTTATTACTAACAAAAAAAGGGTTAAATTTTATTATATAACACTATGGAGATTGTAAAAAAGCCTAAAAATTTAAAAGTCTTAAAAAAAAACCACTAAAATATCATAAAAATAATGAAATAAGCAAAAATAATTCTAAAAAAGATAAAATTTTTTAATAAAACAAATATGAAAAAAATCTTCCCTCTTTATTCAATAAAATTCTTCAAAATAAAAAACAAATAATAATGATAATAATCATAGTTTTTAGAGTATAATATTTTAAATTTTTAATGTATATATATATGTATATATTTTGTAAAGGAAGTTTATTTATTTCAAATATTAGGTATAAATTTAAATTAAATTAATGTATGATTTTCGGGTATTTTCCTTATTAATTTAGAATATATTAATGATTATTTTATTTTATATTTATTAAGTAACATAAATATTGTATTTATTAGTGTAATTTTTTTATTTATAGTATTATTTATTTTATAATGCTTGTTTATATATATCCTTATTTATTTTAAAAAAATAATTAATAATATTATTACAATATTTTTTTAGTATTTCTTTGCACATTATTAATTAAAAGAGAATATAAATTATACTTATTAATAAAAATATTTACTAGTATATATTATATTTTATATAAATATGATTATTAATGTTTTTACATATTAAAATTTTAATTTATATTATTTATTTAATTTAATAGAATCATTAAATAATTTTCAGTAAATTTTTAAAAAAGATTTAATTAGTTTATATTTTTTGTTTTTTTTTTGAAAAAAAAAAAATTTAAATATAATAGATAACAAATAAACTTATAGAATAAAAAACTTTATAAATTTAAATATATATAATACAAATTAAAATAAAATAGATAAAATTTAATATTATATTATTTCAAAAAAACAATAATAAAATATTAATATATATATATATAATAAAAATAAAATATATAAAATATTTATAGAATTAAATAAATTAAAAAAAAAAAAAAAATATTTTTTTTTTAAAAAAAAAGAAAATATAATAAATGTCAGGGCCCACACCAAGAATTATGAAAGTAAAAAATAAAAAACTAAAAGAATAATATAAAACCTTATATAAAAAAACAAAAGGAAACATAAAAACTTTAATAAGAATAAAGTAAAAATAAATAAAATATAAATATAAAGTTAAATAAAATAAGTTCCTTATATTGAATGTCTAGTAAATAAGGATAACTATCGTCATTTTTTTGTGAAAATATAAGGACCAGGTAATACTCCTTATGAAGGAGGTACTTTTAATGCTGAATTATTATTACCAGATTAATATCCGATGAACCCTCCAAAAGTAGTATTTTGCACAAAAATTTATCATCCTAATATAGATAATTTGGGAAGAATTTGTCTTGATATTTTAAAGGATAAATGGTCTCCAGCTTTGTAAATAAGATCTGTTCTTTTATCCATTTAAGCTTTACTTTCTTCCCCGAACCGTATATATATATATATATATATATATATATATATATATATATATATATATATACATATATATATATATATATATATAGATTTATCTTTATATTTAATTTTTTTAAAAAAATATAATTTTAGCTGATGATCCTTTAAATAATGAAGCAGCCGAATTATGGAAGAGAAACGAATAATAGGCTTTATAAATTGGTAATTTTTTATAACTTTATATTATTTATATATATATAATTTAATTTTTTCATATATTATTATTATTTTTAAATATCTTTTTTTTTTATTTAAATTTTTTATGTTCAACAAAAATTGATTTTTTAAAAAAAACAGCAAAAGAATATACTGCTAAATATGCTAAAAATAATTGACTAATTATAAAAAGAAGAAAATATATATAAATATTTTACATATAATATATATATATATATATATATATATATACAATTAAAATAATTACATATTATCTTTAAAACATCATTAAAAAAATATTTTTTTAAATAAAATAATACTATATATAAAACAATAATAAACAACTTAAAAAAATAATTATTATGTCTTGAAATAAAAATTAATAATTAAAAATAATATCATTTAGAATATAAAATTAAAATGTTTAAAAAACGCAATATAAAAAAATCAAATATAACCTTAATAGAAGAATAGCAAAATAACATTTCTTCCGATGAGCAAGAAATAATATTAAAAAAGCACAAAAAAAATCCAAAAATATAATACATTCCGTAAACTTCTGATATAAAATAAAAAATAGATTCAGAACTTTCAGACTTAAAATATAAATCGAATCCAAATATGACATCAAAACATTAATAAGAGACAACAGACGTTTAAATTTCCGACCCTGATTAAGACCCTAGATATATAGCATTAAAAAAAAACGAAATAAGTTAATTAATAAAGGAAGGTAAATTATCCTAAGATGTATATAGAGGAAAAAATTATGGTATTTAATATAATTAAAAAAGCGAAGAATAAATAAGAAATGCCAAATATACAGGTACATTAGGTCCTATAAAGGCTTCTTCGAATAATGTAAGGGTAACTTGCAGATTCGATTATAATCCGAGCCTATGTAAGGATTATCATGATACTGGGTATTGTGTTTTTGGAGATTCTTGCCTTTATTTGCATGATAGGGGAGATTATAAGAGCGGATGGGAGTAGGAATAAGACTGGGAAAATTAAAAGAAAAAAAAAGAGAAATAAATTCAAAATGGGAAAGAAGTTATAAATTAGGAAATAGAAGAAATTCAAGAAGAATTAGGAAAATATGAAGTGCCTAAAATATGCCATATATGTAATAATAAGTTATTTTAGCCAGTAAAAACGTAGTGTGATCATTTTTTTTGCGAAAAATGTGCACTTTAATAGTATAAAAATAACTCAAAGTGCTTCGTATGTGGGAAAAATACTCAAGGGACGTTTATAAGTTCGGAAAATATGATTAAATAAATAAAATTGGAAAGAAAGGTTTGTAAAGATATTTTAAGAAAAAACGTTTCAAATAAATAAGCTTTTTAATTTCTAGAAGATTCTGAAAGTGAGGAAAATAATAATGAAATTAAAGAAATTGATTAAGATATAATAGAAGTTTAGGTTGTTGCGAATTAAATAAAGAAAAATAAAGAAAAAAATATAAAAGAAGTATGGAAATAATAATAATGAATATATTTTATATATATATATATATATATATATATATATATATATATAATATTTATATATTTTTATATATTTTATTTATAAGAATATATATATTTTTTTATTTATATTTTTTATAATTTATTTTTTAATCTTTTATAATATTAATATAAATTATTTTTACATTTATTAATATATTTATAAGTCGTGGAACGATAATATTAAATATCTTTTTTTTCTAATAAATAATGCCTTAAAAATTAAATAGGAAAACAAAAAAAAATTAAAAATAAAAAAAAGTTAAATCAAAAAAATATATAAAAAAATATAAAAAAAATGGCACACAGACTTCCTCATTTAAAAGGATCTAAAGGAGGATCTATCCTTTAACCTTAATTATATTAATAACAACAGCCTTAAATTAATTCTATTTAGCCAATAAATACACAATCAAGTGCTTTATCTTAACCATTTTAATAATAATCATAATCATAATAATAATCATAACCATAATAACAATTGTAACCATTGTAATTATAATAATAATAATACTAAGCATAATAACCTTAATCAACATATTAAAATTAACTATAATAATAATAAAATACTACAATTGACAATAATATATAAAATTAACAAAGGACACCCAAAAAGTAAAATAAATACAGAATAAATACCCAGACCATAATAAACAATATAAGAATCAATATCTCCAAAACTACATATAGCGAATTCTTAAACAACTTAAGCCCCATATTCATATTAATATTTCGTCTAAAAAGACTAAGGAAGTGCTGGCCCACGTTTTATTAGGCCTTCAATATATTCCTTTGCCACAGATCCCAATTTAATATAATAAACAGGAATTCCTTAAGGCTGTATAATAACTCCATTTGCCGAAACAGAAGAAAATGTCCAAATAATAGACTGTTCCTAACCCAATACATGTATGTTAAGATGCTCGAGATGCCACGGATATATAAACCCATATTTTATATTTACAGAAGGGGGAAATACAGCCATATGTAATTTATGTAAGTAAACAAATAAAGTTCCGAATGAATATTTCGCACCTATTAATGATTTGCAAGAAAGAACAGATAAACTACTCAGACCTGAACTTTCTAAAGGAGTATACGAATTTATTGCACCTTTAAACTACCCTCGGAAAGATATTTAATAAAACCTGATTATGCTTTGTTTAGAAATGACTCCTGTGTCAATACAATCAGGCGTTTTTGCCCAAGCTTTACATACAATAAGGAGTGTTTTGGACTCCTTTACTATTCCTGAAAGGACTTCTTTATCTTTATGTACTTATAGTCAATAGTTGAACTTTTATAGTATCCCTAAAGATTTGAACAATGATCCATAGTTGATTGTTATGGCAGATTTAGACGATCCATATTGTCCTTTTCCGAAAAACGCTCTTTTTTTAAACATTTAATAAGATAGGGAAAAAATCGAGTATTTAATCGAAAAATTACTCAATAATAGTTAAAATATACTACAAAATACCGCATAAGGCCAATTTTTTGTCAAAACGGCATCCATAGGAGCTGTTATATAGTCCATATATAGCATGTTAGAAGAAAATCCTTGCAAAATAATCGCTTTTACGTCCTAATTATCTTAAATTGGGTTCGGGAAATTAAAAAGAAGGGATGATGTAAAGATTATGGGTGGTGAATAGGAGAAGAATTTGTATATTCCTTAATGTAATTCATATAAGGAATTAAGTTAGAATTTATTAAAAAAGTCTATTTCTGTCGATCTTTTTGTTTTTGCGCCTGACTATTGTGATTTGGCTACTATTTCGTTATTATTGACTGTTACGGGAGGTTCTTTATATTATTTCCCGTAGTATAATAGTGCTTATGATGGGGAAAAAATACATTATTAATTATTCAGGATTTTGACCAGGAATTATGGCCAAGACTGCATTATGACTTTAAGAGCTAGTCCCGGTATTATTTTGGAGGAGTTTTTTACCGGAAAAGGCAAAGTTTCAGTCCGTGATTTATAAATGAGTGCTTTGGACAGTGACTAGAGTATAGGTATATAATATAAATAAGAGGAAAAAATTTAAGGAAATGAAGCTTATTTATAATATGCGGTTTTATATACTAATTTATATGGACAAAGGGTTATTAGAGTCATTAATTTAGCCGTACCAGTATAAAATAGTGTTCATAACGTTTTCAAATGTGTAGATTTAGAAGGGACTATAGGGATTTTATATAGAAAAGTAGTATCGAATATTTAAACTTAAACTACTAAGTAAATGTCTGATACATTAGTTTAATAAGTGGTTAATATTTTATATTCCTATAGGAATCATTGTGCTTAAGGCAGCTAATAAGGATAGTTAATACTTCCTGAAACTTTGAAAATGCTACCAGTGATGTTATAAGCGTTGTTAAAATAAGAACTTTTTAGGTCAAATTCACAGGGGAAAGCAGATTTTAAAACTTTTGAAATGATCAAGCTTTTTAGCTTAAATCCTTATAATTTATAATAATGGCTTTATCCGAAGGTTTATCCTATTCATAATATAGAAAGTGAGTATTGGGAATAAATTAGTGTCGGAAGTGTAACTAATGATGATAAAGTACTCATGCCAAATACTATAGCGGCTTCAGTAGATAAACTAATATCTAATGGGATATATTTAATTGATAATGGGGAAGTAATTTACCTTTATGTTTAAAAAGATGCTAGTTTAGAGTTTATAGAAGGATTATTAGGAGTTTAAGAATATGAATAAATTAAGGGAGTTTTATAATTCCCAAATTTCCCAGAAAATTAAATTTCGTAAAAAGTTAATGCTATTGTAGATTAGTTAAGGAAAAATAAAAATGGTGCATATTAAAGTATACATGTAGTAAGTTATAAAGATGTCTATGAATAAGATATTAGAAATATACTTATTGAAGATGAAGTTAGAGGGTAAAAAAGTTATGCAGATTTCTTATGTTTTATTCATTAGCTTATTTGTAATAAATATATGTCTTGATATTTTTTTTTTAATTATATATATATATATATACATGTATTATTTTTTTTTTTTTTTTTTAATAAATATATGAATTTTTATGCTTTTTTTTTATTTCTTTTTTTTTATTAATTAAAAAATAAAATAAAAATTAATATATAATTTTTTTTGATATTTTAAATAAATTGAAATATTATTATTTATTAAAAAGAATATTTTTTTATATTTTTTAAATAAAATAAATATTTATATATAGAAATATTTATCTTCTATATAGTTAAGTATATATATGATAATTATATATATTTCTAATAGATTGATATAATTATAATTATTTTTATTAAAATATTATGTTTTTTTTTTATTTTTATTATCATTTTGATAATTAATCTTTTTAAACTTGACTTAAAGTCTTATAATCTATACCATGTTTTAATTTCATATGTAAATTTAAAGATACGTAACTTCCGTAAGTTTTTTAGCAATTATCTTGAGTACACTTTTATTTATATATGAATATATATATATATATTACTTTTAAACATTATTATAATATTTTTTTTTAAAAAAAAAAAATTAATATTATTAATATTTTTTAAAAAATATATTTTTTTTAAAAAAAACATTATATTTAAATTTTATTAATTTTTATTTTTTCCTATGTTATTTTTTTTACTTGAAATATTTTATTAATATCTTAAAAACATCTTCTTTTTCTTTTTTTAAATTTCTTTTTTTAACTTTCATTTTGTTCTTTTACATTACTTATTTTCACTAAATTATCTATTATTTGCTTTTTATATATGTATTTTAAAAAACAAAGTATATTTATATCGCTTTATTTTATTTTACTTCTAGACTTATTATTTTATCTTTTAATTCTTAAATTTCTTGCATATATTAAAATATTTAAGAAATAATACATTTGTTTTATAATTATATTTATTTAAGCATAGTTTCTTCTTCTATTTTATTTTAGAACTCGAATTTGTTCTAATTAACATCGTTTTATATATTTTTTTCGAAATTATTATTATTAAAAAGATCTAATTGAAGCATGTTTTATAAATTTGTTAAGTTAATATTTTCTTTTTAATTAGTTTAATTTTAATCTATAAACTATTAAATATTTTAAGTATTATTTTGTTTATTTTGTGCAATGTTTTCATTTAAATTATAATATTGCTTTTTTTGACTTTAAGGATTATCTACTATAAGGGATTTTCTAATAATTTATTTATTTTGAGAATTTTTCATTATTATTTTTTATTATTATTTTATTAATTTATTTTTTATTTTATTAATTATTATTTTAATTATTATTTTAAAACACAATTTTTTTTATTTATTTAATAATATATATTAGTGAATACTTTTCAACACATCAAAAAATTATTTTAAATAAAAATTAAAACCAAATTAAAATTTTCTATATTTAAAATTAATACCTAAAAACTAATATAATTAAATATATTTTATTTTATATATATTTAATTTTACTAATATTATTTTTAATTTTATTTATGATTATATTATATATCAAATATGCTTTTTTAATTATTATTTTAATATTAGTAAATCATTATAAATAATAATAAAAAATATGTTTAATTTAAAAGAATTTAAAAAAACTTAATGTAATATCTATTATATTACATTAAAAATATATTAATTTTATTTTATTTTAGATTAAAAATATTTAATACTTTAATAATTAATAAAAAATATATTAATTTAATTAAAATAAAATAAATAAAAGAAAATTTTTATAAATTTTTTGTTATAAAAATTATCAATAAATTTTAACTAATATTTATTATTTTAATTATATTTTACTAATATTTAATCTGTTTATTCTTTATTTTTTTCTTTAAACATAGTAATTATAATATTTAATTAAATTTTTATATTATATTGCTTTATTTTTAAAATAAAAATATGTTTATAAGAGTTTTTTATAAAAAATTAATATCATATAATTTATTAAATCAAAAATAAAATAAAAAATATATATATATATATATATATATATATATATTAATAAATTAAAAACAATTAATGTAATTTAATAAATTAATTAAGTAAATTATAATGAAATTATATAAAAATAAAAAAAATATCATATTATTTTAAAACATAGAAAATAATTTATTATAACTAAAAATATTAAGAAAAAAGTTAATTTCATATAATTTTAATCAAGAATTGATTTTATTTGCGTATAAAAATAATTAAAAGATTTATTATAATATAGAAAAGAAAATAGGCTATATAATTTTTAGTATTATATATTTTTATAATTAATTTTTTTAATTTTTATCACCATTATATATTATTTTAAAATTAAAATAATGTTTTCTTTTATTAATTTAAACTTTATAAAAATAAAATAATGAATAAAATAAAAAAAATGAAAAATCAAATAAAATTCATATATATATAAATATAAATTATAAAAAAAAAAAAATAAGATAATTTTATTATTTATTTAAATATTTTTAGATTAAAAAATATGTCTAATATTAAAAAGTAACAAAATTTTTGCAATTTTTCTATTTCTTATAACTTCTAATATATGATATAGTATTTTATATACTTTTTCTTTTCTCTATTATTATATTATTCTACATAAAACATATTAAGAATTACTGAAAAAAACCATATTAAATTAAAAATATATTATTAAAAAAAAACAATAAATCTTTTTTTTATCATTAAAAAAAAAAAATGAATAAATCATAAAAATCTTTATAAATGCCTATTCCTATTAAAAAATTAACATATGATGATATTTCGAGTAGAGTAGGATCAGCTTTATCAAATCTTAATAATGGATCGTTAAATTAAGAGAATATTATAGATATTGATTAATTAGAGATAAATAATGATATTTATAGTTAAAACAATCTTTATTAATTAGATGAAATATTAAATTTAAGAGCTCATTCAATGAATTAGCATAAAAATAAAATAAATTATTACGAAAAAAATATGAATAAAGATATATAATTTGACATCAATTGTATATTATAAGAATTAGATTAAGAATTTTATAATTTATCAAAATAAGATTGATTATATTTAAACAAATAATTAAATATTGTTAATAAAAATATATTAATTAAAAATAATAAAAATTAAATAATAAATAAAATATAAATATTCATAAAATAAAGAAAAATTATATTTTATTAAATTATTTTAGTGATATATGTAAATATAAAAATATAATTAAATTGATTTAAAGATATTATTATTTTTATTTTATTTTTTTTATATAATTAATAAATTTATTAATTATTATATAAATTATTATTTATAATAATAAAAATTTTATATGTTATATTTATATTATAGTATTTTAAAAGGTATGTATATTTTTATTAGTAAAGAAATAAATAATATATATATGAAATATATTGATTTTATATATATAAGGATAATAGAATTAAAAAATAAATATATATATGATAATAAATATTAATATATTTAGATATTATATTTATTTTATAAAAATATCAATATTATAAATTGATATATTTTTATAAAATCCAAAATTAAATATTTATGGATTTTTTAAAGAAATTATATAATATTTATCTAATTATTTTTATTTTTTATCTTTTTTTATTTTTAATTAAATATTTTTATATTTTTAATATTTTTATTTTTTATATTATATTTTTAATGTTTTTTAAAAATCTAAATAATATATATTTTATAGTATTAATTTTATTAATATTAAATAAAATTTTTAAATTTCAATTATTTTTTGTATTAAATTTATTAATTAATTTTTAAAAAATTATTATAATGTTTTTACTTAATTTCAAACTATATAAAATTTTAAATTTAAAAAAATGCTTTTTTTATTGAAAAATATAAATATTACTATAATTTATCATATAAATAAATAATATGAAATTATATATTATGAAAATTTTGTTTATTTTAAATTAATTAATGATTTATTAAATATATATATTTATTATAATAATTTTATTTTAATATAAGCCCGGAAAAGTTATTTTTAAATATTAATTATAAATAATAAATTACCTTAATAATTTAATGAAATATTTTAAAATTATTATAAATAATGTATAAATTAATATAGAAATTTAAAATATATATATATAAAAGAAATATTATTTATAATTTTTTTTTATTATATTAAAATAATTAATGTAAAAACTTTTATCAATTTATTTTATAAAAAATATTATTAATTATCAAAAATTAATATTATTTATAATTTTAAATATTTGTTAATATAGTGAAATTTTATTTATATAATTAAATATTATTTATAAAATTAGAATTTTATTATATTAATAATTTAATAAAAGATACAATCATATATTTAATCATATATTTTATTATTAAATATCATTTACAATATTTTTATTTTTTATTATCATTTTTAATTATATAATATTTTTTTAATTTCGTGTTTTAAAAACAAATTTATTTAATAATTTGAACCTTGATATAAATTTAAATTTTTTATTTTATTAAAATAAATATGAATATTTTTTTCATTTTAAAAATACATTTATTTTCAGTTAATTTAAATATTTATATATAAATGTATTATTTATTATTTATTTATTTATTTTTAAAAAAAGAAGTATAAATAAAATATAAAATAATCTTAATTTATTAATTTAATATATAAACTTTTAATATTTAAAATAAACTAAAAAAAAAATAGGTCCAAAATAATTATATCTAAAAATTCTTTAATACATACATATATAAAATATATATTATACATTTCTTATTAAATTTTATAAAGATACATAAATTAATTTAATAAAATTAAAAATTGTTTTAGCATATTTATATAATTTGCTATTCACTATTGATAAGTAATATTACAAAAAAATATTAATTAAAAGAATATTGGAAATTAATTATTTGATATATATATATATACTAATAATAGTTACTT